TCAGCATTTACTGTTGATTTGCATCCCCACCTAAATTGTACACCTAATGTATACTTATTAGTAAAAAAATAGCAACTATATGTACTACTCGTGTATTCTGTGCACCATGCGTTGACAACAACTAGCAACGTCGCAAGAATAGAGCCGTACCGCATAATTTTCTTTCCTCTTCTTTCTTTTTTCTACGATGAGCGCATGTATGTTGATGCTTTATTTCTTTGGGCTCTGACGCTTAGAGTTCGACAAAGTCCTCAGATGTCTGCAATGAGAGCTTGAGGTAGAGTTTTAAAGCGATGACATTGGAATATGTGCCCCAAGAAGGAATCTGCCTGCAGACAGATTCCTTCTTGTTCTACAGATTCATCACATATTCAGGCGGGTCGCTTTCGCTCTTCTATGGACACAGCGCTAAGAACTAATCATAAATTTAATAATATAATCTCAAGAAACTGAAACGAGAAATTTAGATAAAGTTACCCAACCCTACCCTTGAAACGCGAGCTGCCAGCAATAAATGCGTAGCTGAGGACGTCTTCTGTTGCATCGCGAATAATAATAATATCGATAGTGATAATAATAATAAAAAGCACTAGCCCTGCAAGCCTTTGCTAATGGCAGTTCTATCCCAACCAGAAAGCCTTCAAGCCGAGCCGAAATGATTAAGAACTTAAGACAAACATGCACAAGTTTACCGACATGTTTTATGTTGTGGCTGGAAAGTCAGATATGCTGTGTGATATGTCGAAGCTACAGACATCGATTGATTGATTGATATGTGGGGTTTAACGTCCCAAAACCACATTATGACTATGAGACGTCGTAGGCGAGGGCTCCGGAAATTTCGGCCATTCGGGGTTCTTTAATATGAAACCAAGTCTGAGCACACAGGCTTACAGCATATTCACCTCCATCGAAAATACAGCTTCCGCAGCAGGTTTCGATCCCGTGACCTGCAGGTCAGCAGCTGAGTACCTTGGGATCACCTCGGTGGGGCGAGCGCTACAGACATTGAAATAGTGAATTACCAACATGGAATCTAAGGAAGGCTTTAAACAACGAGAAGGACGAGTTGCCGAACGAAACTTTCCTTCATCTTTTTTACGCTTTAGGCTGCCACTATTTTGACAACCACTCAGTGAGACGACTCTTTAAAAAAAGATTTAAATAACACCAGTATGACATCAGGAAACAACGCATGACCTCATATCCTTCGCTTAACACATGACATCCACAGGCCACCAATCTGACTGGTAGGCACGTGGTCTGGCCAAAGAAAAGCTTGTATGTGCCTGCACCTGGAATACCAGCACATAGAGGCAACCACACTCACGCTGAGCAGGAGTGATGGAATACTTCGGACAATATAGTCGCAGTGCTTGGTTCACGTACTTAGGGGTACTCAAGTACCAGGTGCCTTTTCTATGGCTATTATTGTGAACAAGGCTCCCATAGCTGCTGCCGAAACATCAGTAAGCTTTATATTCCTTTGGTAGGTGGATCGTTTTGCGTCTACACTAATAAGCAACGGTTATGCAGTGCTTTTTATTTTTTCATTTATTTTCTTGCTGTTCACTGTAGTTGAGGCCAAAGGAGTGACTTTTTAAACTTTGATCAATGGTAATGTTTATTTTTGTGACGATATCACCTACTGCCGCCAGTTTCCAAGACCCCACCATATTTTTCAGAAATTGCCTGACTATTTCAGAAAAGTTTAAACTTCCCGACTTTTCCAGGTTTTCCAGGTGGTAGACACCCTTGTTTATCATTATATGTGGCCGTCTATCAAGTTTTACTAAATTAAATGTTGCAATTTCAGAAGTTCAAACCAAGCATAAGTTTTTTTATGTTTTCATGTGTTGATTTGATTAGGTCTGGTCAAAAACGCACTTCGGTACGAAAATTTGTGAGCGCTTTTAATTTTAGCAGTTTCAGAGCATGTTCCGAAGAACTAATTAAATTAACATCTGAAAGTACAGCAAAACTTATGGTTAGACCTTCTAAAATTATAACTTCGGGGGGCAAAAAAACACTATTGAAGACTGGGAGATGATTTAGACTCCAACCAAATGTTTTGGAGAAAGCCGACGTTTCGAAACCGACTTAGTTTCTTCCTCAGAGGGGGGGAAGTGGTTCTTAAAATTGGAAAGAAAAGAAAAGTGAACCCCGCAACTGTCTGCAGCTAAGTGCGAACCTCAGCAGTGGTTCACATGGGAAGGGGAATGGGGGATAATAGACTTGAGCGAAGAGAGGAAAGAGAAAGGAGAGAGCGAGCAAAGGAAGGGGGGGGGGGGGGCGCCTAGAAATATAAGTGGTTATATCAGAAGAAAAGAAAAGGAAGGTGCCGACCCGTAACTGTCTCTCCTTACGAGGACACCTCAACAGGTCAGCAGAGGAATGGGATATGGGGAATAAAAGATATAGGGAGAAGGAAGGAGGGATAAAAGAATAGAAGGAAAATAGACGGAGAAGAAGCCGCCAGCCAACGAGAGGAAAAAGAAGGAGATAGGAAAGTGGGGATCCGGTCGAAGCAGTCCAAGGGCGGGGTGCCACAATGCGAGAGCTGCACGGCATCAGGAGACCGCGGAGGGCGAACCAGTCGGCGGGAGCTACGCTGAAGTCGGAGATCGCGAGGGCACAACCGTCCAGCTTGAAATCCTCCGAGCGAAATCTTCCTCAGAGGTAACTGCGGGGACTACGTAGCAGCGGCGTCTTCAAAGCACTCGCGGGGTGGATAATGACCTCTCTCTCTCTCTCTCGTTTTGCCGTGGAGTGGAGTTCATGTGTAAAACTGGGGAAGGGTTCCGAGAGAGCGGTTGATGTTATGGGCTGTCCTCTGTATGTGCCACGACTCGAGTAATAACCTTTTGAAGCGACGGCCAAGGATGACCGTCGCTTCAAAATTTATCCGGTGATCCAACGTCTCATATGTTCGGCGACTGCGCTGCGCTCTTTGTAGAGCTTCCGCACATCGTTGGCGTGTTGCTTCAGTCGTTCCGGTAGGTTTTTCGTATTGCCGATATAAGAATAGGGGCACTCAGCGCAAGGAATTTCGTAAACAAGACCGGGGGTTCTGTGTTGGCCTGTCTTTCGGGCGGGGGAGGAGGCGGCCCAGCGTACACGAAGGCACGTGCGCGATGCGAACCCCTTTCTTGAAGATCCGCGCCAACATCTCGCTGGTTCCCTGAACGCATGGGACTTGTACGCGTTTCGGGGGGCTACCAATAAAGGTTGATTGGGGTTTTTGTATCCTCTGTTGCTCGGTGCGGCGGGTGGCGGCTCGAATAAAGTTTTTTGGGTATCCGTTTTTTTCTGAGGTCTGCAATTATGCGGGCCTCTTCTTATACACATGGACTGCGCTCCACTGCAAGACAAGAGAGAAAGAAGGGAGTCATTATCCGCCCCGCGAGTGCTTCGAAGACGCCGCTGCTCCCCGCAGTCACCCCTGAAGAAGGAACGAAGTCGGTTTCAAAACGTTGGGTTCCTTTAAAACTTTTGGTTGGAGTCTAAATCATCTCCCAGTTTCATACCCAACCAGACAGACTTCTGTTGAACGTTTGCATTCAAGTAGACTATTGAGGACTGCTTTTAGAAAGCGCCATGTATAAAAGACATCCATTAATCTCCTTGTCATGTGCACCATGTGCCCATCAGGACTTGTTTGGGACTTGCAAGGAATAATCCGGGTTCACGTAAGTGCAGCCAAATGGACCTGTGAGGGATGTTTGCCAGAGTTGTTTTGCAAATGCATGCAGTGGATATCCGAAATGCAGTCAGGGGGTGTCATATGGACATCTCTATCATGTCGATTTGTTATGCTCACATCACTTGGTGTATGAAATCCGTGTCTTGTGTCAAATGCCATGCCTGGCAAACTGTTTACTGCTTTAATAACAGAATGAGGGAGCATGCTATTAATTTCAACGTGGACATGAATGTGCATCTTTCTGCGGTTTGTGCGTATGTGCTCCACAATGTCAGATTCTGGATAGAACGACATGAGAACATTTAGAAGCATTTTTAAATAAAGAATATGGCAGTGATTGTGTTAGTCAGACATCTGTTGTCTTAATTGTTTTACAGTACCCCGCCGCGGTGGTCTAGTGGCTAAGGTACTCGGCTGCTGACCCGCAAGTCGTGGGTTCGAATCCCTGCTGTGGCGGCTGCATTTCCGATGGAGGCGGAAATGTTGTAGGTCCGTGTGCTCAGGTTTGGGTGCACGTTAAAGAACCCCAGGTGGTCGAAATTTCCGGAGCCCTTCACTACGGGTCTCTCATAATCATATGGTGGTTTTGGAACGTTAAACCAATCAATCAATCGTTTTACAGTATTTGGTTGCACTGTTTGTGTAGCGACCAAAAGACAATAAAGAACTGCTTTGGGGGTAACAGTGGAAAGAGAAGAAGAAAAATAAAATCTTCTGTCTCAGTCAGTGTTGGGACGTTGTACTGTTGACGTGTAATCTGCCTAGCACCTCCTTGGTGTAGTCAGCCGGATGTCACCTTCGCGCCTGCATACATTTGTAATAGCATATGTATATATTTATTCTGCGTCATCAGTTATCCAATAGTCATTAGTAGCGCCAGTGGTGTGTGGTTCTTTGCGTCCGTTGTGTCTTTTGGCACTGCATTATGATTATTAGCAATGCACCAACTGGCCATGTAAAACAAGCCCTTCTGCAGAATGTTACTTGCCTGTAATGTACCTGCATATTTTGCGCAGAGTATTGCACTGCACTCACACTTTATATGAACCCAGCGACAGCAAGAATACACATTGAAATTTATCTTCTTGTAATATCATTAATGAGTCTGCATCGCAAGAGATCCATTGTGAGGTTCGGCACTTTTGTCAGTGCATGCGTGAAAAATTCTGATGAGCAAATAATGAAAATCACAACTTGAGTTGGAATTTAACCCAGATATTCTGCGTGGCTGTCAGATATTCTAAAACCGAGCCACAGTGCATTAAACCATTTCAGAAAATGACGCTATACAAGCATGTTATTGCGACAATGACAACTGTGGTTGCAGTCCTGGCTATTAATTTTTTTATAAAATCATAAACATTCTAATGCATAATCACGACTCCACAAGCTGCAGTCAAACATGGCCACATTAGCAACTGCCACTTATTATGTGCACACTATCGCACTGTAGCGCACACTTCCTTGCAGTCTGCTATAATACGAGTCATGGCATTGTGTCAGACCATGAGCGATACACACCACTGTATTCAACATATCCGACAGTGACTCGATATGCATGCAACTACTAAATTTGCATCGCTCCAGCTAATTATTCTTGGCTCAAAGCAAGAAATATGACATATTTTACCCCTCCCAGAGCTTCATATGAAATCTATTCCCATTATGGGTGAAATGTGCCAGATTTTTTTTTAATTACAGGAACGCTACATGTGACAAACACTCCGTCCATGCACACTTTGTTTAGGAGCATTTGGAAAAGCAACATTGGAGCTTTGCTTCAAAATCATTCTGAAAGGCCACATGGCACTGGAACAACTAGATTTAAAATGGATGACATGAGACGCGCTTGCACTGTTGCATCCACCATGCGCAGTCTCTGGGCGACAAAGAGGCCAAAGTGTTCGAGCCCATCTTCAGCTGTCGCAGGTGGTGATGATACCGTCTGTGTGTGTGCATCATGTTGAGAGGTATCACCGACTTCGCGCAGTTGATCTGCTGGATGTTGCTCAAAAGACTCTACAGCATCCTTGAATTTTTTGCACCGCCTGCAATTTAGTTGCACAACTGTCAGCCATATTTGTGAAGTGATGCTTTACATAATGCGACACAACTCTTAATTTTGCTCTTGATGTGCTACTTAAGTCATGGTTTTCAACATAGGCGTGCACAAGGTTCTCCAGTAGGGAGAGCAAAGTCTGACTGCAGCGTTCATCCCGATCACTATAAACATACGTATGGTTCAGGGTGGTTCGTTGCAGCACCCCTTCTTCCCATTAGTTTAATAAAGAGGCAGACTTTGTGCCACCAAAATGTACACTGGTGGATGGCATTCTACCAGGATGTACAGTATACATCCTGGTGGAACGTAGGCACATAGTCCAGAAACACTGGTCCTGCAAAGGAACTGTGACCCACTTGTGAAAAAGTGCCCTGGCCATGGTTATGCTGCTCTGCAGTGATGCCAGCGTCTCGAAGTCTTCACGATCAGTGTCCACCTCTGGATCTTCGCCACCAGAGGCGGGCTGCAAATGCAGTGCCTCATCACCAATTGCAACTCTTAGCAAAATGCCTCTTCAAACAGACAAAAATGAGCGGCAATTTTCACAGCTCCAAAATTTACCACCAGGCAGAGGGTCATTACAAGCATCATCGCTGATTTCCTTTGAGTCTGACACGAAGGATTCTAAGCTATAAACGAAGGGGGTGGTTCTAAGAACCACGCTGAGAGGAAAAAAAAATGTATTCGAGGCACTGTGGTATAGGTATAAGCGAAGAATTCTCTACTGTTTACAATGATGAATTGACGGTGTTGTTGCTTAAGCTGTTCAAAGCTTCGTCCAATGTGAGTGTGGCGCCATGACTTTGTGGGCACACCGCTTTTAGTAAGTACACAGAAAAAGAGGTGTGCTTGCTTGAGCTGTTGAGAGTACGTACGAGTCTGTCATACAGCTTAAGGGTTGTAGCGAAAGGTAGAAGAAAAAAGACGCTGTGCTACTTTGAGTTCGAAAAACCAACCGCTTTATTTTGATGGCCAAGCGCTCAACCTGCTCATGCCTTCGCTGCTCGGAACACCAGTGCGCGGCAGCCCCCCTCCCCATATAGACGAAGTCTTGATCAGACCAGTGTGCACGCTCTTTCTTGTTGTATATGGCTTCGTGAATAGTAGAAACAGGAATGATCGTACCATTTGCAGAAGTCTGCACATAAGCGGGCTTTGTCCTGTCAACTGACACTTCAAGTGAGAGCATTAAACAGCTTGTTCTGCGGAAATTCCAGTGTCTGCGGTGATGTAGGCGTGTCATTGCAATCGTTGTGAGTGAGCGAAAAATTGCCATCTTGGTGTGTGACCAAAATTCATAAAGATGTAAATAAAATAGATATTAAAAACTCCCAGGTTCGAGTCAGGTTGGAACCCAGGCCGTTTGCTTGGCAAGCAGGTGGTCTACTCCACAGCAATATGCGTCTGCTCTAAAATGCAAATAAGATAACTTACTCTGCTTGCAAATGCAGTGAAAATAACATTCATGCTTTGTAAACACACGCGTCTTGTGTACAAGCTTTACAATACAACATGTAATATTGCAATAACATTGCGTGGTAAAAGCGTACATTGCCACAGGGCGTCGGAACATGTGATCAAAGGGCTGAAACCGTGCGACAAGCTTTCATGCTTATCGCACGGTTTCACGCTGTTTCGCACGGTGTCCCACTGTCATGCTGAAGTGTCGGTGAAAAAGGTCAAAAGTAAAGCTAAGAGCCTGCTTCGCAAGTTAAACCATGTAATTGTCCATAAGAACATGTCAGATGCCAAGGAAGATTTCCTTGAATCCTTCTTCAGCGCGAAAACGCATACGGTCGACATGCCTTTTAGGCTAATTATATCTGAAAATAACACCTGGCAAAAATGTGTTGTGCTCTACCTGCAGAAAACCTTGAAATGCCTAGAAGTGAATGATCCATTTTTGGTAAAAGTTCATGCGAAGTCCAGGAGTTTATTTCATCGCGTTGGAATAAGACTTTATTCGCCTTCTCTGTAGACGTAAAGGACCTGTACTATTCTATTCCGCATGACTCATTATTACAATGCATTGGAGAATATATAGATGAGTTTGGCACCTAAAAATTCCAGACTGAGTCTGGCGTCAGCATCAGTGGATTTTTAGAGCTTCTAAGGTTTTACCTTCAGTCGACGTACATCCTATAAGATGAAAAACCTCACCTTCGAAAATCCGGTATCTGTATTGGTTCTTGCATCGTTCCCATCGTCAGTGACCTGTTTTTAGGCAAATTAGACAGATCCATTTCGGAAGTTTTCATTAACACTAATGTGACGCACGTTTTCAGATACGTAGATAATTTTTTATTTTTATGGACATGATGTTGCATCGTATAGGAATGACGCTCTTGCAGTTTTAGACCTGGTGCGAAATGGTTTCAAACATTTTGAGCTTACTCATGAACTTTCTGATAATTGTGAAATCAGGTTCTTTAACTTTAAGCTATTCCTGAATAATGGACGCACTTGCTGGATGTATCAACCACGTGGAAATAAGCCTGTTTTGCCGTTTCATTCCGCACATTCTAAATTAGTTAAGCGAGGTATCGCAAAATCTTGCTTCGTGAATGCCTCGCGAAAGTTCTGTGTGCACAAGATTACAGAAAGCTTTGTTGAGCAATCTTCAAGGCTGACGTCAACTGGTTACCCCGACTAGGTGCAAGTTTCCATTGCCGAAGGTCTGCTGCGTGAACTTCAGGCCAAAGGGAACGATAACCTAGTCCCACCTGTCACAGCTAGACAGGCTTTCGCCGTGGTTCCGTATATGCACAAGATAGCGCACAATCTTAAGAAAGTGGCACAGCGAGTTAATGGAAGGTGGTCTTTACGGTCCCTCAAAAATTGAGTCGCCTATGCAAGCTGCCATCCTCTGTCCAGACGCACCCTCGGTTGCATACAAAACACGCAAATAAATTTAGAGATTGCATCTGTATTGTGATGTATCAGCTGCTTATCATGTGGAAGGTATTACGTCGGTCACATAGGTCGTTTTTATATGAGAGGCTGAGGGAAAATACGTACAATGTGGATCACTATAAACAAGGTTGGCTGTCCGTTCACTGCAGCACGTGTGGCTGCCGGCCAATATTTTCAGAGTGTACTATTGTTGAATATGCAGGAATCGCAGCACACGCGAGATCATAGAGGCAGAAAAGATTTGCGCATTAAAAGATGCTTGTGTTAGCCCCCCTTCTGTCGCGCTCACCGATAAGAAAAGTTGTTCCTTTGCTTGTCGGTGTGATGTACTTATACATTGTAATTGTCTGTCGCGCATGACTATTGCGACTGGTGAATGTATAAAAGCGAAGAACTTCCAAACCTTTTGTGTTTTTCTTAAGCACTGTCGAGAGGGTTTGCAAAGGGATGCCGAATTCTTTGGCGATGCACGACTTGCTTCGACTTGCTTTTTCCACTTCCTTGTTAGCGCGACTTTTCTCTCCAACGTCAGAGATTTTCACTGCTTTGGGCGGACATCTCTGTCGATATTAGGAAGCGTCCATTGCACAGACCTCACTACTCAGCAAAACTGAGCTCAAGATGCGTCGTGCACAGATCGCGAGGAAAACAAAGAATACCAGCTCGCACATGCTGCACATGCCGCCCACCGCGCATAAGTCGCGCGCATGTGCGCACACGTGATCACTCCCACAGTTGCCTGACAAGGCTGATAGGAAACGGCTGCGTCCGCGGGAATTTCAAATTCGCCCTTCACGACTGCGTTCGGCACGTATAGTAAGATCTAGCGTTCGCACGGAGCCCTCGTTTCCTGTTGGGAGTAGACTTTGCCTTCTGCCCTCCCTGTCAAGATTTCGAGATATCCACTGTTCCCTTCGGAAAACGTTTCGAGATAAGAGGGGGCAAATACATAGCACCTATGGAAGGTTAATGCACGGCGAAAAAAAGTTTCGACTTAACCGAGATTTCGAGACATGCGAGTTCGAGTTAACGAGGGTTTCGTGTTCCCTTAGGTACTTGGTCCCATTGCTTATCCATACGCCCAGATATTTGTATTTATATGCTATCTCTAGCGTGACCTCCATTATCCTAAGCTCACTACCTTCATAATCATTAAAATATCATGACTGCTGATTTTTTTTACTGAATCTGAAATCTAACCTATCTCCCTCATTACCGCAGATGTCCATAAATTTTTGCAAATCTTTTTTGTTGTCGGCCATTAGCACTATATCATCTGCGTACATCAATGCTGGTAGTGCCTGTTCAATGAGTTTTTCTTTGTTTGACGAAAGAGAGATTAAAGTCAAGTCCACTTCCCTCTAATTTGGCCTCTAATCCTTGTAGGTACATCATGAATGACAAGGGTGACAGAGGACACCCCTGCTTAAGCCCCCGTTTTACCTCTGCGGGCTTGGATACCTGTTTTTCCCACTTTATAACTACCTTGTTACCTTTATAGATATCCTTTAAAAGATTAATGACTCCGTCTTCTACACGTAATGTGTCCAGTATTCCCCACAAGTCCTCTTGAACCTCGCTATCGTACGCTCCCTTGATATCCAAAAATGCTAGCCGCAAGGACCTGTGTTCCTTTTCTGCTATTTCGATGCACTGCGTTAGTGAGAACAGATTGTCTTCCAACCTACTGTGTTTCCGAAACCCATTCTGCAGTTCCCCCAGCACCCCCTCATCCTCTATCCATGCCTACAGAATTTCTTTATAATCTGCATTGCCAGCCTGTAGATCACTAATGTCACTGTTATAGGACGGTAGTTGTTTACGTCAGCTTTGTCCCCCTTTCCTTTATAGATCATGCTCATCCTGCTAAGTTTCGATCCATCGACAACTTCACCATCGATTATTGTTTTGCTCACTGCCTCTCTCAAAGTCTGTTTAGACTTCGGACCCAATGCATTTATCAGCATGATTGGGATGCCATCTGGGCCTGCTGATGTACTATTAGGAACCCTCTTCTCAGCCCTTTCTCTCTCTCGTGAAAATGAAGCCATTGCGCCACTTGATTCATCCTTGTCTATTGTGTTGCATAGGGCACTTCTTTGTTGAAAATTTTCTGTTACCCTTGTTCTTAAATGTTTTTCTTTCTTTCTTTCTTTATTTGTTTCTTTCTGTGCCAGTACAGAAAATGGAGCGAAGGTAAAAGGCTGAAAGCCTGACTAAGGGCCTTTGCTCCAAATACAGTGATGCAGACAGGCTGTCATAATAATTTTGCTAGGATACAGAAAGAATACAAAAAATATACAAAAATACAAAAGGTACATGTGCAAGTACCGTAACACATACAACAGTAATAAAGTGTTATTTCTAGTAAACAAATATATACATAACCATCGTAATGTTTTAAATACTAATTAGATATAAGTTGCGATTTCTCATCGCTATTGCAAGAGATATACACAAAGAACAATATACACAGGGAAGCATAGGAAAAGGAACACACACATAAAAAGCATCAGATACTACTTAGCCAA